GTATTCCCCTTTTCCCCGTTCCCACTCCCTCCTCCCCTCGCCGGAGGAGGGGGGCGGGAATGGGTGGATCGGGGCAGGCGTGCGGGTGTATTGCGAGCATCTCACCAGATGCATCGACCCTTCGTCAACTGACCACCTGACAAGTGCATCGGTCTGTATCTCTCTCCCTTTCTCCTTCTCTCTCGAAAGCAATGCCTTCTGCGCCAGGCTTGACGAGGAGGGAGAAAGAAGGGACCAGGAGGGAGAAGCGAGGCGGTAAGGGAAAGAGAAAGAGATAGAGAGAGAGAGAGAGAAAACAAACAAACAAGAAGGAAGAGGAGGAGAAAGGGGAGAAGGAAGAGGAGGAAGAGGAGGGAGGAGGACCATTGCAAACCCAAGACTCATCAACGATGCTGAAACAAGTGGCACGCGTGCCCTGGCTCTTGCACACTTGAGGAGAGAAAGAAGAGGAGGGGCATGTGGGGCTAAGGCCAGGGTCGGGGCGAGTGGGGCCAAGGCCAGGGGACAGGCTGAGTTCAGCCAGGGCCAGAGGGCTGGGGCTCGGACCAGAGGCCAGAGGTCTGGGCTGGGGGGAGGAGGCGAGGGGAAGCGGGCCACAGCCCGGGGGACTGGGGCGAGGGGGCGAGGGGAAGCGGGCCACAACCAGGGGGACGACGATGAACCACGAACCACGAAAATAAAGGGTCCGGGGCGAGGGGGGCTGGGGCCAGGGCCAGGGGACGCCAGAGCCAAGGAGGGAGGCTGGGTTCAGGGCCAGGGCAGGAGGGCTGGGGCTCGGACCAGTAGCCAGAGGTCCAGGTTGGGGCGCGGGGGCCAGGGGATGAGGGGCGAGAGCCAGGGGCTCGCACCAGGAGCCAGAGGTCCGGGTTGGGGCGAGGGGGCCAGGGGATGGAGGGCGAGAGCCACGGGGACGACGACGAACCACGAACCACGAGAATAAAGGGTCTGGGGCGAGGGGGCCGGGGATCAGGGCCTGGGGGGCCAGAGCCAAGGGGGGAGACTGGGTCCAGGGCCAGGGCAGGGGGACTGAAGCTCGGACCAGGGGCCAGAGGTCCGGGTTCGAACCACGAAAATACAGGGTCCGGAGCGAGGAGGGCTGGGGCCAAGGCCAGGGTCGGGGCGAGTGGGGCCAAGGCCATGGGACAAGCTGAGTTTAGTCAGGGCCAGAGGGCTGGGGCTCGGACCAGAGGCCAGAGGTCTGGGCTGGGGGGAGGGGGCGAGGGGAAGCGGGCCACAGCCAGGGGGACTGGGGCGAGGGGGCGAGGGGAAGCGGGCCACAGCCAGAGGGACGACGACGAACCACGAACCACGAAAATGAAAGGGCTGGGGCGAGGGGGACTGGGGCCAGGGCCAGGGGGCGCCAGAGCCAAGGAGGGAGGCTTTCAGGGCCAGAGCAGGAAAACTGGGGCTCGGACCAGGAGCCAGAGTTCCGGGTTGGGGCGAGGAGGCCTGGGGAATGGGGGGCAGGGGGACGACGACGAGGATGGGGGCCAGAGGCAGGGGGACGATGACGAACCACGAACCACGAAAATAAAGGGGTCCGAGCTCTAAAACACAACTGTGCAAGAGAATAAACCCTCCCTCCAAGCTCCTTCTTCATAGGTTCTCTGCACGGATTCGCTTTCATGGGTAACAATGCCCCGTTGGAAGACAAGCGTTAACAAATCCGTAGTTGTACCAGAGCACCATCCCTGGGACGTCAACGCCATGAATTACCAATACTGTTGAGTCTTGACGATGATGAACCGTGCCAAAACACCATTCCTGGGACTTCATCACCGCGAATCAACGTGACGTGACTGTTGCACCCTGACATCCCGACATCGTGCCCAAACGCCATTTCTGGGACGTGAACCATGGAAATCCTTGAATATGCTGCAAACTCTTAAGACGGATGCGCGCAGCGCGTCACGTTTTGAAAAAGGACCACCCTCCACCCGAGAAGCTCTTGGAACACTTCACAGCGACTGTACGCGCCGCTGAAGCGATGACCACATTTTGAAAACGAACCGCCCTCCATCCGTGAAACTTTTCAAACATTTAAAATGAATGCGCGCGGCACAACAACGATAACCACATGGTGAAACAAAAACGCCCTCCATCCGTGAAACTCATGTAAACGTTTAAAGTCGAATGGGCGCGGCGCTAAAACGAGAACCACATTTTGAAAACGTTCCACCCCCCAATACGTAAAACTGTTGCGAATTTTTAAAGACGTATGTGCGCGGCGCCAAAACGAGAAACACATTTTGAAAACGGGCCGCCCTCCATTCGTGAAGCTCTTGCGATTTGTTCAAAGACGACTGCGCGCGGCGCTACAGCGAAAACCCCGATTTGAAAACGGGCCGCCCTCCATCCGTGAATTGCTTGGAAATGTCCAGTTTTGTCAGGATCATACAATGTGAAAGAATGTCAAGCGAAACGCCCAGCCCGCCCTTTCGACCGCCCTCGGGGAGCGACAGGGAGATATTTACCAGGAAAAAGAATGGAAGAGGAGAAGGAGGACGAGGAGGAGGAGGAGGACGAGGAAGACGAGGAGGACGAGGAGAGGAAAATGATGAGGAGGAGGAAGAGGAGGAGGAGGGAGAGGAGGAAGAAAAGAAGGAGGGGGAGGAGGACGGAAAGGAGGAGGAGGAGAAAAGGAAGGATGGAGGAGAGAGGAGGAAGGGGGAGCAGAAGCTGGGAAGATGAGGAACAACGAGGGATAAAATGGAGCAAGTGGGTGAAGGACGAGGAGCAGGAAGAGGAATATGAGAATTGACACGGGCCGTGCCTTGGGAAACACTGCGCGCCAAGGAAATAATTAAGACGCCAATGCTCTGGCAGAGCAGTCCCTTGGCGGTGGCAAACGCAGGGCCGCACCCCGGAGGACCAGGAAAACAATACACCAAAGAAAAAAAACAATCAGTGGATGGTTTGAAAAATTGGCAGGCGACGAAATTCCGAAGAAACCGTAAATAAGGATTCCATGTAATTTTGAAAAAGGTTGTGGCGTTCTCGCACTTTCGGGCATCCGTCGGTTCGAAACGGCGCAAGAGGCCTCCAAGATAGACGATCTCAGAAGGCCCGTCGACCGCCTAATACGGTCTGAATCCGGCTCCACGATTGCCAGAACAGACCGAACAGACGATCGATTGCGAGATCGATATTGAGAACTTTGGTGAATTCGGTACTGATATGAGTATTGATATCGATAGTGGGATCTATAATGGGATCGATCGTGGGGGCGATCGTGAGGACGAAAATCATGTCGACCGTGGGATTGACAGTGAAGTCGATTCAATGAGATCGATTGTGAGATCGCTCGTGCTACCTATAGTAAGGTCGACAATGAGATCGATAGATCGATGGTGAGGTGAGATCGCTAATGAGATCGATAGAAAGGTGGGTAATGAGATCGATGGTGGAGCAAATCGATAAGAAAATCTACCAAAAACCCGAGAACCCAGAAACCCGGGAACCCCGCCACCCACCGAAATCGGGCCAGAACGAAAAACCGGGAGCCCGGGAACCCAGAACTTGAACCCGGGAACCCGGCCGCCAACCGAAATCGGCCGGAAACTTCCGTCACATTTCGACATCCGCTAGGACACCTTCAGTGCAAGCGCTGATTGGGGATCAACGAAGACAGTACGAGTCGCCTGACAGCTCGGCGCTTGCGCGGGCAGCTTGAACCAGCGGGCCCTCCTTCCTCGCGACGAAAGACCTCCACAACACTCGACAACTGCACGCCCGGCTGCAAGCCCGCCTCTTCGGGGGGGCGGGCAGCCGGCGAGGCGCCCTCCAGGGCCTCTAAGACACCCCCAGGCCGAGCAGCGTCCTCGACGGGCACGACGCGCGACGGCTCCGCGACTGGATCTTGCCGCTGGGCCAGGAGACACCGCTGCGCTTCCCTCCGTGAGTCCGGCTGCGCCGTCAGGACAGACCTCTGGGGAGACCCCCATCGCGCTTTGGACGTCTGCCTCAGCAGATTCTGCGCCCCCAACGGTCCGCAAGATTCCTTGTGGGGTGCCCGCAATGTTTCCCCAGCATCAAGCTGCGTCGACCTCTCCAGAGATGCGAACACGCGCCGTCCTCAGCCCAAAACTGCACGCGCGAATTTGCCGCGGGGCATCCCAGAGACACTATGTGCGTCATCAAGCCGCTGCTCCACTTCAGCATCGAGAAAGCCCAGATCCCACATCATAGATCTTCTAAGTTGAGCAACCCAACCATCATCATAACATACCAACCCAACCGCGGTGCCCCGGGATATCGCGCATCTCTCCTGGCCCGAGCTCTCGCACGGGCTCCAGGTGGAGGGGGGGCCGAGCGCCCGGTTTCTGCTACTTGGTCTGCGACTTCAGCCACCCGCACTGAGGGGCCTCCGACTCCTGCCGGGGGCCGCGCGCGCAAGATC